CGTGAGCCAAGCCATTCGGTGATGTGAGCATTAAAGTCGCCAAGTATCTCTGAGAATGAGATTTGCTGCAGCACAGAATCAGTATCCGTTTGGACGTGGTCCATCAATTGGTCAGTTCCGGTGTCACTGCTGTGTTACCTATAGAAGCATGCATAGACGGTCCTCGACGGGATGGTCGTCGCTGTCTACACGGAGTCACAAGATGGAGAGGTCCCGACCTTAAAGATTGCCGAGGCGATCATCTCTAACATACACGCACACTCCAGCCCCAGCTACAAAGGAGTGTTCCAGGTGATAGGTACCAGGGTAGGAGAGATAGGATGTGTTCGATGGAGATGTTATCTGCGTCTCGATTAAAAAGATCAAGGCCGGCTTCACTCGGCTCCACTCGAGGTGGTGGTGGACAGCGTTAAGGTTGGAGTATAAGTCCCTGATATTGCAGAAGTCCATGTTAAGTGTGGTGAGAGGTGGCTCGATGTGCCTGCTCTTGCCGCGGGTAGATTTGTTGAGCGCAGTTGTGCCCCCTCCCCCCTCAGAATACGCAGAGCAGCCTAGACATATACGGGTGGTACCTACCCGTATATGTCTAGGCTGCTCTGTGTGGTAGACTATTGTTCAACAACCTTTTTAAATTATTGGAACGAAGTTCCTTATCGCGCCTTGTGAAAGGGCTCACAAAAAGTTGTAACGACACTTTTTATGTCAGTCATTCAGCGCCATCTATCGAATAGATAGGAAATCATTACTTTTCATCTCAGTATTTATTTTGAATTGTCACTTGTCAGTCATTCAGCGCCATCTATCGAATAGATAGGAAATCATTTCTCAAGGAGATTTCACCAATGTATAAATTGTTTTAATTAGAAATCAACTGAAAAATATGTAGGTAATAGCCGCTTTAATAGATGGCGTTGTAATTAAAATCGTGTCGAATCAGTTTTACTCGATCTTCACAACTTCGTTCCTATCGGGTGTCCCACGACACCACACTTTCTTTTTTTCTTATTATAATCAAGGTCGATCCCATTGATTACATAAATTTGAAAATACACTAACGCCAAATTCCAAAACTTAAGAGAAAAAGAAACACTTTTTAACAATTTTTATATGATTTAGGCGCATTAATAGCAGACTTAAAAGTATCATCAATCATTGATTATCTATCATTCTAGATTATCTAGATTATCTATCATCATTCTATTTATTCAGGTGTCGATATAAACACCCTACATTTACATACAATAACATGAATACAACCATTTGTTAATGATTAACACATAAACACTTAGCTTTTCTGGACCTATTATTAATCGGGCGACTAACTACTGCTTCTATAATTAGATCCGTTGATTTTTATGAGATTGTTCCGAAAGGAACTCTCGTTAAGGAGGTTTTTACAGTAACAATCCATACGATTGATCCAAGTTACGAGTTGTGTTAAGTGATAAATTATAAAAGAAACACAATACATGAATTATTTCATCTATTGTGTTTTTTTTTCAGAATTATCAAACAAGAGAGAGTAAAAAGTAACTTGTTACATACAACTTAAATATATAAATGGAAGGGATTGGCTTATCAGAACTAGTTAGTCCTGATAAATTCATTTTATTCACTTAGAGATAAATCCACTTAACCATAACCAATGTGTCTTATTTACTAACTAATAACATTTCCCTGTACTGTTCCATTTAGTTTCGGTTCACCCTACGTAGGGACAGGTGTCTCGCTCTCCACCACAATAAATAGCTATTTACCAGAGAGTGCGGCCGCTGTGGCGCCGGAAGGTGTTCTCAATTTGTCGCCCTGAATGAGATTGTCACCGCTTTCAGAATCACGTAAGTGGCTTTTACATTTCACTTTATAAGACTAACATTGATTTTAATTTTTTTGGACTTCGTGAGTAGTAATAAAAAAATAAATTATAAGTTTCTGCCTGTTGATAGAGTACTCAACTTAACACATCAAAAGTGGCAACATGTACGGTTATGAAATTATGAACGATTTATAATATAGTAATATATTTCTATTTCTTTTATAAATAATAACTAAGCATTCTTTGATGCATTAGTAAAGCAACAAAATCCTTCATTCAATTGTTCATTTATATGTAATAAACAATATGTGTACCGTAACATACGAAGTATATAATAAAGTTACAACTAAAATGAACTTTTCATATTTGACATAATTAAATAACGTCTTTTTAAGCTATTGCATAGCTTCTATCGCGGGCCTTGAGCGTGGAGACCGAATCCAGAAATTCCGTAACGAAAATAACCTAACACCTCCCACTCCGACCGGCACAGCGGTGATACTTTTTAGTTTTACCATCTATCGATGAATAGCAGAACTTTTTTAAGGTAGGGTGTTCCTGTGACATGACAAAGGGGGGAGACCAGTTCATTTTTATTAATGTAATAATTTTATAATTGCATTGAGGTCCCTTCAAAAAGTGGAGGGGAGTGAAGGGGAGGTATCCCCTTCACTCCCCTCTACTTTTTTCATTTATCCCCCCTTTGATTTTCTCGGTTCCTGGAGCACTTGGACACCCCATGTTTGGGTTCGTCTGAACCGGGAAAAGGAGACGAATAATCTGGACCCCTACAGATTTTTTAGCTGATACCCGCGAATTTGAAAACACTGCCTTAGTGGGTTCGATTCCGGAGCCGGGCAAAATTCTATAGGGTTTTCCTAAGATAATTATTTAATACTAGCTGGTACCCGCTACTTCGTTCGCGTGGAATTTGAAAACACTGCCTTACTGGGTTCGATTCCCGGCCGGACAAATTTCTATAGGGTTTTCTTGAGATAATTATTTAATACTAAGTTTATTAATACTAAGCTGATAAAAAATGCTATGCAATAGCTTTACCGCGGCAGTCCCCGAGTGCCACACGTCTTTTGTTTTGTGTAAGTATGTAAATGTGAGTACATTGTAGGCTTGTAATGTTAACCCATATTTTAGTAACTTTCTGGTGGTTTTGAGTGTTTCCACGACCTACCCAAATGTCCTGCTGGCGGTAGTGTTGTGCTTCGGGTCGTTGATCTTGACCAATATCGATTAAGCTACACGACGTCTGAGGCCTGCCGGCTCAAAACTATGGTCCTTTCTTCCAAAGGCCTACCCAAACCCTGTACATATGTATATATTTTAATTTAGCTTTTTACCGTGGGAGAGCCATGCTACGGCATGCATTGTCCGGCTCGACTGGAGTGATACCACGGCCTCGCAGAAAACCGGTGTTAAGCAATCCTTTCGTTGCCTTTCACTGAGTGAGTGAGGTTACCGGAGCCCAAATCCCGCTGATCCCCTCCCGCTGAGCTCGAGCGAGAGCGAGAGGGACTCCAAGGGCGGCAACGCACTTGTGACTATTGAGTTCCAGTTGTCCATGGGCGGCGGTAGTTGCTTACCATTAGCTGACTCGTCTGCTCGGTTGCCCCCTTATACCATGAAAAAAAAGTACCGGCTCCTTCTAGCTGTAAAGTCCGACTTGTAAAAATATCTGAAAAGATTTACTTACAGAAATACATATAATTTATCATGAAATCAGGAAAAAAAGCTTTTATTTTAATGAAAACAAAACAAAATCGAAAAGTTTCTATTTTTAAATCAGCCAGTATATGTATATTAAAGAGAAAAATAAAGATTGTATACCAAGCTACTTTGCTAGGAACAAAATAAAATTACATGCAGTTCTTGTAAATGATGCTTGTTGCTTAGACTTTTTATGTGTATGTTTATGATACGTCACGACTTTAAGAACTCTTATGATGATATTCTAGTCGATTTCGGCTACTGCAGCTTCTTTAGCTCCGTTGTGGGTATTCGAGTCCTCGCATGTGGCTTATGTAGCCGATCTTATTAATAAAAGCCCTCGCACACTGCTGGTATGTTGAGATGTATTATGGTCAATTAAATAAATTTTAATACTAGACACTTTAACAGAAAAACCCTAAAAGGACTATTATGGACTATTCTGGGTAAACATTGGAAGAATTAACCTCTAGACGTCACTATCAACCTTGCTTAATTACAAATAATGTTTAAATATTTGAATTTCTCTTTAATTCTCGTTTCAAGTACCCTCAAATACCCTTTCAGAAATTCTTACTTAATAATCTTAGGTTGTCAAGATTATCTTAAATTAAATTGACTCACTTTAACAGGTCTAGGTTTAATTGATACTTTCTTGAGATCTCACTTATCTCTTTTTATATAATTTCTTAGTTTTTTTGAACTTCTCTTTGATGAACAATATTTATCTTGCCTTTCAACTTTTCACTTTTAAGTCAAAGAATTTCTTATATAACTGATATGATACTATTTGTATAATCCACAGATTAGCATAATATATGTTATTCGTCATACTCGTACTGTTTATTGAATTTTAATCTTTAATTATTTTGTAAAAAAACGAGATTAATCTCGAACAAGTTGCCGGATATTTCCTATGAAACTCATTTAAAATTATGAAATTAAGCAGAACATGGTCTGACAACTAAATAGATATTGCACCGCAGTGTTTTCAATGCAAAATCTCGCGATTTGCTCTTAGTACAAGTAGCATTATTAACTTGGCATGTGTATATTATATGCAGTTCATCATCATCAGCCCATCGCAGTCGTCTGCTGGTCATAGTCGTCTCCCATTGCACGCCACTTCGATCGATTTTCGCGTTCAACTCCTGCCAGCCACCTTGCGCAAGTATATGTAATTAGACAGTAAAAAAAAAAGTTTTAAGACGTAAACATAAAAATTATTCAACGATGATAATAATCTTCATATTTTTTTATACCAATCATATTCATGTACGTATAGCAACTACCAGGATATGTTTATTTTAATTTGTGAGTGATGTCAGTTAATGGGGCTTCCAACAAAACCGGTTCAATGGTTTAAAAGCGAAAATATATTACTTGAATCACTATGTGAGAAGTGTTTCTCGTAGATGTTACTGTTAATGTTGCTTTTATAAATGAAATGTAAAGAATAACAATGTGGAATTTATTGTTGGTAACAATTTGTGCCAGTGTACTAGCTATTGTCTCTAGTGATCCCGAAAATTTTAACATCGGTAGTAAGTATTTTGTTTATTGATATTATACACATGTTAAAATATACTTATGTAAGTGACTATGTTATTTTGTGATAATACTTTACCTTCCGTCAGCAAATATGGAATTGTGACTTTTTTAAACTTGCTTTAAGCTTAATAATTGTTGGATAAAAATTAAGTTAATTTACAAGTTATTAATACATTAATTAAGGGCCTTTTGGTGTAATGTTTAATGACCCTGACTGCTAAGCTTCGATTCCAGCCCAGAACAAATAACTGTGTGATCATTTGTTCTGTCTCGGTAAAATAATACTAAAATATGCATGTATTTAGAAATATGCAAGTTTCAGCAGTCTGATTACAATAGCAAAGGTTTCGCCTAGTTTGAGATCAGACTGCCGTGTGCTAGATGTGTGAAGTTAGTAATAAAATTAATTGTTAATATATCTTTTATTTTGTATGTTGTCTTTTGGTTTCAATAAAATTATATAATAACACACTGAACTTGAGGATTTTAACATAGTTTAAGTGTTTTACTAAATAAAGAACAGATAGTACATCTCTACCATTTCTTTGTCTTCAGAAAAGGAGACTGCTGAGCATCATAAAATATTTAAACAGAAAACTAACGATCATCATGGTGCAACATCGTCTCGGTTTGACAAACCGGTACCATCTTTGAAAGAACACAATCCAAATAAATATAGTTACACTTTATACGCAGATGGAGCTGTGCAATTAAAAAATGATAAATCGAACCACAAACCTAATTATGGCAGATACACACGTCAATCTAAATATTATGATAACTCTAGACATAACAGGGAACCTCACGACTTCTATCCAGGACATACACCGGACGATTATGACGAAATTTTACTCCCAACGCATCATAGAGGATCGCCTCTTCATTCACACCACAGAGGGCCATATCAAGAACCACACCAAAGAGGACCACATTTACCACCACACTATGGAGGACCACCTCCTCGACAGCACTATAGAGGACCAGGTGGTAGAAGAGGACCTTCACCACACCATAGAGGACCAGGTGATGTAGAAGGTCCTCCACCACATCATGGAGAACCAGGCGTTAGAGGTCCTCCACCACACCATAGAGGACCAGGTGGTGGAGTAGGTCCTCCTCCATATCATAGAGGACCACCTCCATATCACAAAAGTCCTTTCGATCCACACCACGGAGATCGACACATGCGACCTCAGCCTCCGCATTTCAATGATGATGGACCGCCAACACCACTACCACCGACCAGCCAAACCACTAATCAGTCCCCACCATATGAAAACCAAACAGGGACGGAAAAATTAAAAGATTCTAATCGTAACAAACCATCTAAGTCCATTGATAAAAAGTTACCAACTATGGAATCTGTGTCTGATGAGAATTCAACCACACGCACTTCTACAACCGAAGAAGAATTTATTCTTGATGTAAGGATTGGAAATTATGAAACTGAAAAACCACAAAATGTATAGTTTTGTACTGTTTTCGAAAATGGAAGAAGGCTCTCAATTCGGCTCCATGCTTTTTTTTTGTTACGTCAGAATTTCGTTTTAAAGAACTAATGTGAACGGGACAAATGTATATACCATAAAAAGTATATTTAAAACAAAAATTTAATTCCCCAAATTTAAAGATAACATTCCACCCCTATGTATGAATTTTTATTTAAGTCGGTGATACTTCTTTAAAAGTTAATTATTTAATGAAGCAACAATATAACACTAGCAAGAAATAAAGTGAAATCAAATTATATTTGCTGTGTCTACATACACAAGTAACATAAACTTACACCAATTAAACAGAAACATTAGTTTAAACAAACACACAAACTCTAGAACGTAGAATTTTTAATTTGTATACTCATTGTATTCAGATTTATCTCATTATATTTGTTGTTCATAATTAAAAGTAAAATCTGGAAAAACCTCAACTCACTTAATTATAATTTTGTCACTTATGATTTTAAAATAATAAGTTTTAATTCTACGTCTAATAAAGTTCTAGTAGTACTTCTACTTTTTCTCTTTGAATATCATAAATTATTAGGTATTTTTGGGAGTCTATATTCTTTTGTTTTAGGAAAAAACGATAGATTAGATTAGATTAGATTAGATTATTGCCTAACTAAGCATTCTTGTCAGAATTGTTTGGTCTATCGATAGATGGCAGCTCTTATGAAACTCTGATTGATGGTTTAAGATTTCGCCTTAAATCAGTTTGAACTGGATCTGATATTTTAACACTTGTGTGTAGCGTTGCATCGAAGTATCTTTTAATACTTCATACAATATTTGATCTCTAGAGTAATTAATGTCAATATATAATTGTATCATCGCTGTCTGTCTACGATAACATATTATAAATGAATAATTACATAAAGTAGACGAACGCGTTGCGAATCGAATTCTATATTTATGTGTGCTACTACGAGTATATCAGTCGCTGTCCGATATATTTGCCCGACTACAGAATTGACCCAACATTTACCTATTTTTGTCTGAGGTGACGGCTTTCTTTCTGAACCTTTATATTATCATCCGTCTGCTTTTCTTAAGTTATAGGTATGTTGATTTCAAACTATTTGATTCATTTCATTTCACTCAAGTCATGACTAATGTTACTTGTCACGTTGTGGTAAAAATATAGCAACATTTTCCCACATGTTTAGAATATCGAGCTCGGTATTTTCCTTAAAAATATAGGAAACAATAACACCTTCACATAGAGGACTACGGTAATCTGTATTAACCTAACCTAAAGAGTATGCTAACCTGAGTATGCTAACGTATAATGGTAACGCAGACAGGAAGAGAACACGATGACTGGAGAATCTGAAGGAGTATTCTACTACCGAGAAGGGACCAAATGCACCCATGCGGAGTAAGGTTTCTTGTCTACAAGTCCCTGGCCGACAACGTTTTGGAACTACCTAGTGTTTCAGCGATGGAATAAGATGGCGTACATACGCGTACGTACCACTGCGCACATGAGATACTTAAACTGATAAAGATCTATAGAGATACATTTATAGTAGCGTGGGTGCGTAGGGTTTAACAGCACACCCTCAAACCCTATGCACCCTGGACCTTTTTTTTTTTGTTGACGGAGTGGAAAATCCCTTCGGATCTCCGGCTCCTTGGGGATATAGGAGCCAGGAGTATGTGGTGATTCCACTAAAAACTCTCCGACGGCCAGCCTTAGGCGCCCTGCTTTGGGAAGAACCCGGACCATGTGATTTCAGGTCCCCCAGATCGACGCCGCACCTAGCTAGGTCCCATCTCAGGGAAAGCCAGTGGCTTCTCCCTGCCTCTCAGCCTATCCAGATGTTGCAGCCCGATCACATTTTCAGTGCGATCAGGCTGCCATCCTTTCCCCTACCGCAGCAATTAATCTGCCAGCAGAACGGAGATGGACCTAGAAAGAGTCTTTATAATTTCACGGTTTAACGATCAAAACGGTTGCACAAGATGTAAAAAAAACTGCATAGTGACATCTATGTAGTTACGCCTTAAAAGGTAACAAGAAAATAAATTATGTATGTTTTAACTACTATTACTCCAAAAATAATAAAGTTAACTTAGCCGTTATAGTTTTCCTTCTATATCACTATAACGTTTAATATTTCGCAAATGTATAACTGATTCGAAAAATAGTCTCTAAGGAGTCTGACCACTAGTTGCAAATGAGTATGTTTTATGAAAATGAAATAAATACTCTGATTAAATACATTTATTTCCACATACAAATATAGTTGATAGTTTCAAAAAAATATAATCAGTTATAACGACCTACATTTCCACTTTGTTTTCATTAACAAACTTTTAAGGTTAGAGATTTCGAGAGCTTACTGTTTTGGCGATCAAAAGGACGGCTTGCATCTTCCATCAGGAGTGCGTATGTAACCTGGAAGGCAGTTGCCTGTAAAGTTTTCTCTCCCCTTTTCAGTCGTACTCGTAGTTTCAGTAGACGAAATAACGGTGACAATTTTCTCAGTATTACTCGTTTGCGTAGCGGCTTCAACTTGTTCTTCCTCTTGGTTCACGTGAATATCCGATTTGCTTGGTACAGAACTGTTCTGTTCATTCCGTTCATTGTAATTAATGTTTGGCTCTTTTTCCGTTGGGAAGATGATGTTATGAATGTCTTCTCTTGCCTTATGTAGTTTGTTGTGAACTCCGTCAAACAAATCTTTCAAATGGCCATTTGCACTGTTGCATTGCAAAGTTAAAATAATGGACAGTATTATATATGCTGTTAGTTTCATTTTTTAAGCGTCCGTGGCACTTCTTTAGAAATTTTTCTCTTAACTGACGCTCTGCCAATTACTCCGACTAACCAGATAACAATATTGACCTCATTCATTTTATCGGGTACCGACTAGGTATATAAACAACATATTCCGAGAAAAGATAAACCATGTTAAAATATAAACAACAAAATGATTTTAAAATTTAAATGAAAAATATTATATAACAATACTATCAATTCGTAATAATGGGAAGCCAAAAAAAAGTTTTTAAAATATGTACCAGACTTACTTAAGACTTGTTTATAGTTTAAAATTAGCGACTGAAATTTATCATCTAGTAGATGAAAAACAACACCATAAATTTTACTTTTCTTTTACATTAATTACTAGTATCCACAAAAATATGTAATCTTATACAAACATTTTTAAGATTACTATCATTTTTATTTAATTATTAGCAACAAGGATAAACAATGTCATAGGTCATACATTCTATCATGAATAGTATACATAATCATTAATACTAAATAAGAAAGTTCTCTGCTTTGAGCAAGAGACGTTATTGCAACTCTGAACATATGCACAAAATACCTTTAAAGTCTTGGTCTACAATTTCCCAAATTATCACGCCTTTCCCCCAAAGGACAATCCAGATCTGGAACTCGTATTACTTGTGATTGTTGTGTTATACTCTCGGCTGTAGTTGACGTAGCATCTCGAAGTTTATCGAGAAAATTAAACACCACACGTGGTTTAGCCTGTATACTCGTCGTCAGTGCCAGCACAGTTAATAACAACACAATTTTCGCGTCCATTTTAATGAAATACATTGAACACACTACGTTTTTAGAATAGCTACTTGTTCAACAGATCACCATGGTTGTCTACACACTCCATTTATATCCTTAACAGTATTGCCGGTACACCTCTCTGTATTTAATGGCACTTCTATCATACTAGCTTTAACTGTCGTGATATCTTCCTCGTCTTGAAGTAATATGTTTTTTTTTAAATTTTCATAAGTTTCTTTGATGTCCTTGACTGGATTTCCAAATAGGTCTATTATAAATTGTCCTGTAGAGACGTTAACAGCACAAGTAATTATATGGAACATTAAGCTAAACACAATAAAACGTGCCCACACAGAAGTCATTTTACAATACTAAAATATCACTGGTCACAACGTTTATCAAGTTCACAAATACCAGGCGGCAACACAAATACGATAACATTCACAGACACATTAGTTATCTTTAATATATTTAGTTAATTATAAATTATTAAATTTCCTGACAATGTATATAATTAGAAATAAAAGTTAAGTGTACTATCATGTACTCATGGTAATACATTTAACTATACTAAAATTATTATAGTATTTGATTTTTTTGCTAATTACTAGATGTAAAATACATACAATAATTTAAAGTACAACTTTTCAAATTAGTGCAAAACATAGCACGCGACGCAAGCTACAAGTATAAATAGATATGATTTGAATTCATTAAGACACAGGACGTATTAGATACAACTGTTTTGTACATCAGCGTGGTCTCTTGAATGCGGAAAATAAATTTTATTATCAATTTGCCGCTAACAATGACAGTATTCAACACACAGAGTCAGATTAGTCTTTATTTTAAATATTTATATGCGTCTAAGTAAGGAATAATTTTCTCTAGTTCTTTATTTAACTTATCTTTATCACATTCCGGATGCATTTCACAGTACATATTGAGCCACTTCACAATATTTTTGGTTTTGTTAGGACAATGCTTCGAAACGTTATGCTCTATTTCTAGGATTCTTGATTTTATTTTTCCAAATCTTCATTGTCATCAATTATTATATTGTTGTCTTCACTGTTTTTGGAAAAAATAATGTAGGCTATCTCGTAATTATATAAACTATTTTTGAAAAGATTTATAACAGGAGGGATTTCTGTAGTCGGTAACATGACAAGTTCGTAAAAATCATCGGCTGTTTGCTGCAACACTAAACAATCACTTATAAATATTGAACTATAGAAAATTAAAAGTTTTAGAACTGGGTCATCCATCACGGATGCTTCGCTACGTCTAAACGAAACTACTATTTATTAAAGAATATTAATAAATCCTTACATCAATTCACGGGCATAAAATATCTGTACCTCATTCATTCTGTAGATTGACCATTTGATCTTATTGTGCCAATTGACTTCTATCATTCCTTCTATTGGTCGTTAAAAGGAAAAATGTACTCACAATGTTGGTATTATTGAAGTAATTGATGTTCGCTCACAAACTGATGAACTCAATATTTTCTGGCCAGCTATTTAATGCCTATGTAGTTTACATTTATAAATTAATGTATTTTAAGTCCAGTAATCAGTTTTTGACTACGACAATCTATTTTAAATAATCTAATCAACACTGGCGTTTTGGTCTAGAAGCCAAAGTTCGTGGATTCGATTACCAAACTGGACAAATATTGTGTGATGAACACCATCATTTGTTCGGTGTGTCGGTGTAATTTATGCATGACTAGCGTTTTCCCGCGATTTGGTTCTCATTGTGGTCGACATCAGATATCATAGAATATAGGTACAAACAATCACTCAACATCATCATCATCATCATCCTTAACTATTTTATATCGATATGTGTGTATAATATGTATATATTTTATATGCAAGGCATTAAATTTCATTGCATGGGAAGAAAGATTTTTTCTGATACAATGCAATGGTTCTTGTAAGTAACCGATTCGGCTTATCTTATAAAACACAGAACATTGAAACATCAGTTTTCATAGTGTAAGCAGTCTCAGTCCAGTTCAAGTTAGTGGCATATGCTGTAAAACACGGTAAAACAGAAGTCATTTTACAATACTAATATATCACTGGTCACAACGTTTATCAAGTTCACAAATACCAGGCGGCAACACAAATACGATAACATTCAAAGACACGATATTAGTTATCTTTATTGAATATTTAGTTAATTATAAATTATTACATTTCCTAACACTGTATACAATTAGAAATAAAAGTTAAGTGTACTATCATGTACTCATGGTCACTCATGGAAATACATTTAACAATACTACAATTATTATAGTAGTTGATTTTTTTGCTAATTACTAGATGTAAAATACATACAATAATTTAAAGTACAACTTTTCAAATTAGTGCAAAACATAGCACGCGACGCAAGCTACAAGTATAAATAGATATGATTTGAATTCATTAAGACACAGGACGTATTAGATACAACTGTTTTGTACATTAGCGTGGTCTCTTGAATGCCAAAAATAAATTTTATTATCAATTTGCCGCTAACCATGACGGTATTCAACACATAGAGTAAGATTAGTCTTTATTTTAAATATTTATATGCGTCTAAGTAAGGAATAATTTTCTCTAGTTCTTTATTTAACTTATCTTTATCACATTCCGGATGCATTTCACAGTACATATTGAGCCACTTCACAATATTTTTGGTTTTGTTAGGACAATGCTTCGAAACGTTAGGCTCCATTTCTAGAATTTGGATTCTTGATTTTATTATGACGTATTTTTCCAAATCTTCATTGTCATCAATTATTATATTGTTGTCTTCACTGTTTTTGGGTCCAAGAATAATGTAGGCAATCTCGTAATTATCTTAACTATTTTTCAAAAGATTCATTACAGGAGAGATTTCTGTAGTCGGTAACATGCCAAGTTCGTAAAAATCATCTGCTGTTTGTTGCAACACTAAACGATCACTTATAAATATTGAACTATAGAAAATTTAAAGTTTTAGAACTGGGTCATCCATCACGGATGCTTCGCTACGTCTAAACGAAACTACTATTTATTAAAGAATATTAATAAATCCTTACATCAATTCACGGGCATAAAATATCTGTACCTCATTCATTCTGTAGATTGACCATTTGATCTTATTGTGCCAATTGACTTCTATCATTCCTTCTATTGGTCGTTAAAAGGAAAAATGTACTCACAATGTTGGTATTATTGAAGTAATTGATGTTCGCTCACAAACTGATGAACTCAATATTTTCTGGCCAGCTATTTAATGCCTATGTAGTTTACATTTATAAATTAATGTATTTTAAGTCCAGTAATCAGTTTTTGACTACGACAATCTATTTTAAATAATCTAATCAACACTGGCCTTTTGGTCTAGAAGCCAAAGTTCGTGGATTCGATTACCAAACTGGACAAATATTGTGTGATGAACACCATCATTTGTTCGGTGTGTCGGTGTAATTTATGCATGACTAGCGTTTTCCCGCGATTTGGTTCTCATTGTGGCCGACATCAGATATCATAGAATATAGGTACAAACAATCACTCAACATCATCATCATCATCATACTTAACTATTTTATATCGATATGTTTGTATAATATGTATATATTTTATATGCAAGGGATTAAATATCATTGTATGGGAAGAAAGATTTTTTCTGATACAATGCAATGGTTCTTGTAAGTAACCGATTCGGCTTATCTTATAAAACACAGAACATTGAACCATCAGTTTTCATAGTGTAAGCAGTCTCAGTCCAGTTCAAGTTAGTGGTATATGCTGTAAAACACGGTTTAAAATATAATCCCAGAAAGAATGAATACATGGTGTTTGAGGCCAGTGTTAAAAGTCCTGAGGATGGAGAGGCTGCCTCTAACTAGGGTGCCACCGCTTAAATACATTGGTAATCTGCTTACTACCAAACTCAAAATATGTTGCAGACATTGAGCGCGAACGTAGAGAGTTGTCCGTAAGAGTGAACATGCTGGCGCGCAAGTTAGTTAGATGCTTATGACAAGTGAAAATCATGTAGTTCCGTGAGTATTGTACATCGCTTTACGCAAGCAGCCTGTGGGCCAGATATACTCAAAAGGCGTGCAACGCTCTGCGGGTACAGTTCAACAATGCGTTCCGGGTATTGTTGAGGCTGCCTCGTGTCTGCAGCGCATCAGGAATGTTTGCCGAAGTCAGGCTGGGTTGCTTTTACTCCACAATTCGAAAGCGATATGTATCCTTTCTCTACAGAGATCGGGCCAGCCCAAATCAAATTCCGGGGATGATTGCTGCTAGGCTCGACTCTACCTATATGAACCACTGATCCAGGGTTCATGTAGAGGGAAACTAGAAGTAAGTTGTGTTTTTGTAATTGATCTTAGTATTTTTATTTTTTTATCTTTGTTTTTTTTAATTCTTTTGAAATTGTAAATGTGGAACAGTATGGTTCTAAAATACCCGAATAAAGATTATTATTATTGAAAATTATTTTATTAATTTATCACGTCTTTCGCCCAAAGGACAATCCAGATCTGGAACTCGTATTACTTGTGATTGTTGTGTTATACTCTCGGCTTCATTTGACGTAGCATCTCGAAGTTTATCGAGAAAATTAAACACCACACGTGGTTTAGCCTGAATACTCGTCGTCAGTGCCAGCACAGTTAATAACAACACAATTTTCGGGTCCATTTTAATGAAATACATTGAACACACTACGTTTTTAGAATAGCTACTTGTTCAACAGATCACCATGGTTGTCTACACACTCCATTTATATCCTTAACAGTATTGCCAGTAGACCTCCCTGTATTTAATGGCACTTCTATCATACTAGCTTTAACTGTCGTGATATCTTCCTCGTCTTGAAGTAATGTGTTTTTTTTTTTTAATTTTCATAAGTTTCTTAGTATTTTTAATTTTTTTATCTTTGTTTTTTTTAATTCTTTTAAAATTGTAAATGTGAAACAGTATGGGTCTAAGATACCCGAATAAAGATTATTATTATTGAAAATTATTTCATCAATTTGGAGCAACTTCCCCTAATCCTATTTTTTTCGTCTGATAGAATGCTAATAACTGCATGAAACAGGACCGACTCGCACCATAAAATGAATTTGACAAATTAATTAATGTTTATGAATAACTTAAGTTTTACCAGAAAAGTAGACTTTAGTTTTTTTTTTAAATAGTGATACAGTAAACTTGTTTCAATGCAGAACAAGCTATTAATAGTATAATTGGCGAAAAAATAATTTCCATTCCAATTTCAACCATTTCAGTCACCAAAGCGATATAAACGGTATCTGTTCATGGAAATATGCTATCTATTATACATTTGCATCACCTATTTTGATATCTATATTAGTGAAAAATCTGAATTTTATTTATTTGACTTATGAATGGTTTAATGGTTACTTGGTTTTAGTTTAATGGGATGCAAGAATTATGGATTTTATTAAGTTAATCACACATTAGAAGACATTTAATCGTCAAGAATATGGTATACTGAGCGACAATATCAAATGATGTAAAGTATAAAAAATATTTTCAAATAATGAAGGAAATGCATTTAATAACTTTCAAACTTGAGATCGCGTATGAAAAAGGTAACTATAGAAAAGACATTTAAAAACAATCCCCAAGAATTTAAAAGATTTAGTTAAAATATAACTCTTTAGCATTGCAATGTTAAGTAGTAAAGTGAGCTTCGACACTCGTGTCGTAGTTAAAATCACTTGAATTTTTAGATACTCGTACATATCTGTGTAATATTAAAGTGTTCGAGACAGTTAATCACGGTTAGGATTTTTTACTTGGGAGTATATTTCTTTATTTTGGGACTCAGATCAATCACTTGGCAGATTGAAAAATGAGAGTATATCTTTTGCAATCCTTAACACTGAACGCAGTGGCAGATGGCGAGGTGCAGTCAAATTTTAGTACTAATGGTCAGTGATCCTAACTGCTAAGCCAAACGTCGTGGGTTCCATTCCCACCCAGGACAAACACTTGTGTGATGAGCACAATAATTTCTTCTGTGTCTGGTTATAATCAATAATATTTATCTATTTAGAAATATATGAGTAAGTTCATCAGCAGTCTGTTTACCATAGTACAGGCTTTGCCTAGTTTGGGATCAGACAGACGTGTGTGAAATATGTGACGTTATTATTATTTTCATTATTTCTTTCATAAATTAAGCCTTCTATTATGTTTGTAAACATGATATTATTTCTGTAAGTAATAACCAACTAATTGGTGGTTACACTGGTTGAATAAAGAGGCTCTCACAGTTCATGATGTTGAAATTCTCATTAGCCGCGCCCGCAATACAAATTCGCTTCAGTGATTTCATTCGTTTGGTTTCATAACTAGATAAAGTTATATTTTTTACTGTAAAACTGACCATTTGTATTTAATCTAAATTCTTTGATCTGGTCAAGTATCTAACTAAGTCGAAAAGTTATTTTACGAATCCTTTCTTCTAAGACTGTATGAAATTAATTATTAGTGATACATATAAATAGCATTTTGAAATACATTTATGATTCATAGAAATTATTATTATTATTAATTTAAACCGTGGGAGAGCCAATGTTCGGCACCCGTAGGCCGCTCGACCGAAATGATACTACTTAAAAAAAAAAGGGTATTAAGTAATACCTTCGTTGCGTTTAACCGACTTAGAGAGGTAAAGGAAGGCTTAACACCTCATTTTAACTTAATTTTTTAAAGTGTTAATGATAGTCTTTATATACGAGTATAGACGCTTCTTAGAATTATAGAAAGAACACCATTTATCGGTTTCCGTAGACATCCTACTTAAAGCCCCGACCAGTATACCCTGCAATATTTGTCATTTTGTATGTTTAGTTGGTTCCCTTTCTCCATATCACATCACCGTTAGCTCCGGGTATTTTTGTTATGGAACATAACAAAAATAAAAGACGGAACCATATTGAATTCCCAACTTCGTTTTATTGTACGTAACATAAATGGAAAATGATATTATTTTATCGCAATATCATAATCATAACAGATTCCTACTTATATCACAAAGAGGTAGGCTGTGTGCATACACCTGGTCCAGTATTGGACAAAATAATAAAAAGGGCATGTCATCCTTTGACGGCTCTGACGTTGCAAAGTAAAAAAATGCCATACACACCCGCCTGGACGGAGGAGCAATTTTGTGATTAAAATACTTACCTCAGCTTTGATATTTTAATTAAATAACGCAATGTATGTTAAACACAATCATACACTACAAGGTAAATACAAGTAATTGTAAAAGCTATGTTAAAATTTGCAAGTGGGTCTAAAACAAAAGTGTTCAACATTAACGCTTGAGGATTTGTTTACAGGTTTGTTTGAATTTCATTGGGCAACGCACCTTTTTTTTTTTTTTTTTCCCCTCGGATATCACCTGTCGGTGGCATGTCGGACTCGAACCGACTAAAACCGCACGCCGTCTCGGGTACTAATAGACGGGGAACCAGGAATATATATATACCCTAGAAAGGAAGTCCCTGGTACCCCGACATACCTCGGGTCATCTACAGACGAGTAGACGTGTGGGAACCCCATGTTCCCTGTGCTCTCTGGAAGAGAGCGCGCTTCGCAAAGCGCTCGCCGCCACCCCGGCCTGCTTCTGCTAGGGTGACAGATGGCCTCACCTGGCACCCCCAGGCCTGCGCTTATGGAGGACGGAGGTCGTTCTGCGACCTCCGGCGCCTGAGTCGCCTGCGGTACCTGGCCCGTTCCCGGGCCTGGCGGGCCGGGAGAGTCCTAAACCTCTCCCGGTCCCGCTCCGCCGTCTCCTTCGCGAGCATAACTTGCTCGCAGAAGGAGACGGCAGAGTTCCACGAACTCTCGCTCCGCACGATAGCCGCAATCAGGCTATCGAGCGAGAGAACTCCCACTCCGATGGCCGCCACGAGGTCTCGCCTCTGCTCAACCCACGCCGGGCACTCTGCCAGCGTGTGGAGAGCCGTGTCCACGGTCTGGCCATCGCAGTGGTGGCACTCAGGCGTTGGCTCCTTGCGGATCAGACACAGGTGATCCCCGAAACATCCTTTCGCAGTGATCACCTGCGTCAGTCGGTATGAGAGGGTCCCGTGACGCCTCTCGAGCCAATCCTCCATAACGGGTCTTACCGCCGCGATGACGGCGTGCCCGGCGCTCGGTTGCCCGAGTCGTTCCTTCCACTCCCCTATGATGACCTGGCGGAGTTGGGATTTCCGGTCATCGATTTCTCGAGTCTCAAGACACCGACCCAACTCCCGCGCCTCCTTGCGCCACTTATACAGAGCCGCAAGGGCTCTCGCCTCCAGGTCCCACGGTGGAGTTCCGGCCAGGAGACTCGCCGCCTCAAAGGAGATCGTGCGGTACCCCCTTATGATCCTGATGGCCAGCACTCGCTGCGGTCGTCGCAGCGACGTTGCTGGCCTTCAGGACCCCCGCCCAAGGGCAACGCACCTATCACAAAAAGAGTTGTGTGTTGAATTTTATGACAAAGGAAAGAAAGAGTGAATCTTAATCTACTTAATTATAGAAAATGATAGAAACCATGTAACAATTATACTAAAATATCTATAATCCTTTTGGCGTAGTGGTGTAAGCGATTGCCAAGCCGCTTCCTACTGCACTGAGTGTTATGAGTTTGATCCCCACATGGGAAACTACTTTGTGTGATCCACAAATTGTTGTTTTGAGTCTGGGTGTTCTTTGTGTTTGTTTCATGTATGTCTGTAAAGTCCGTGCTATACAGGATATATATTCCTAATGTGGGTAGTCTTTTAAAAAAAAAAGAATGATCTGCCTCTACTTCAACTGGAGAAAGCTTTTGTAAATTAAAAAAAAATAACCCACACAAAAAAATGATGTAAAAGGTTGCATGATCACATTTTTTTATTAAAACTATCATAAGCTGTAATTATAACATGCTTATCACAAACTTTTATTTTTTGACTACCGGATGGCGTAGTGCTTTGTGTAACGGACTGCTATTCCAAAGGTCTCGGGTTCGATTCCCGCTCAAGTCAAACATTTGTGTGCATGAACATTTAGTGTTTGATTTGGTCTGTGTTTCTTTGTATAATAAGTATGTATTTACAAAAAAAAGGATATATGTATTTATATCAGTTGTCTATTAGCCATAGTACAAGCTCTGCTTGGTTTGGGACTAGATGGCGTTGTGTGAATGTGATAGAATATTATTATTTATTTTATTTTTATTTATTATAACAAATTTGGGCCTTCACAGCCTAAAACTCTTAACTCTAACTGTACACTGTTTTTTAAACTTGGACATCATAAATTTGATTTTGGTCTCGAACTGCACACCTGTGCTTAGTATTCAAATGCTTCCATTTCTTGCTAAACACCAATAGCTGTGAAATATATTTAAAAAAAGTATAATGTCTAAATAACAATATTTTGATGAAAACCACTTGAGGAAAATTATAGAAAACTAGTAAAATGAACTGAAAGAATATTTTCATTCATTAATATCGTTAATTGTATTTTCGAACTTCACTTTAATTATATTGAGGTATTATTAAGTACTACAAACATTAGGGCAGAATATCAATCGAAAGTGGAATACGCCATACTCACATTTCTGCACATATCTATACCGACAATTTCATTGTCTTTGCTATGTTCTTCAGATGATGATGAGCTAGAAGATGATGATGACGACGACGAAGACGACGATGAATCATTTCTTCTAGTCTAAAAATAGAATAATGGTAATGTTATTAGAACAGTGAGCGACTTAAATTATTGGTGGGTTCGAGATAAAAGTCATTAATTCTTATACTTCTAAAATTATTGTGACCACGGGCTTTAATGATTAGATTTTATTATCCTTACGTGAACTGAATTTTGGTATGCTATGACATAGTAGTTAAAAATTATTTCAAATAGTGCTACATGCATGCATTTAAAGAAAAAATTGCATACTGTTACTTGAATGGCTAAATGAGCTTGTCACTTTTTATAAAAACAACCTACCACCACTCTGTATCCTCATTTAAAGCAATTAAAGTTTTGTATTTTTATGAATTGCTCTTTTAACTATCATAACCACAATGATCTATTTTTATGCCATATGATGCACACTATTGTATGATGTAGGTAGCTAACGAACGGAGGAGTCACCGAATGATAAGTCACACTACCAATGGACACCTTCAACTCAAGAAACGCAAGTTCAATAACCTCCTATAACATCACTCACTCGGTGAAAAATAACGACAGAATTACTTAACACCAGTTTTCTGTACGTTAAATCATAATAAAATTACTTTAAAAATTAAAAACCCCCGACACAAAAGAAAACTTTAAAAAACAACAACAGCTCCTTAAGACTGTTCTAATAACCTCAAACATGGTATATATGCTCTAATTTTTTGAGGAGTTGACTATCCCGCAGACTACTTGATGCAACAGCAAGTTACCATGTCGTAAAAATACCATCAAAGTAACAGTATACCAAATTTCAGATCCATTGGACCTGTGGATTTTAGTGAGATCCCTACATCACCTAGGAAGTGAGCTGATGATCTTCAAAAGGTATAGCCAAGAACCTTCTCGATCACATCGGCTTTCGAACAAAAAAATCCGCATCAATTCGGGAGCTATGATGCCAAAGACAGACACAAAGATACACAGGTTAAACTGATAACACTCCTCGTTTCCCGTCGGAGATTAAAAATAAACGATGATATGAACTTTTATTTTTTATGTGTATACATGTATGTACATCTTAGACCTAAATACCTGTCCCATCACCTCTATAAAACCTATTTTAACAAAATTAATCATGGACAGTAATGAAACTGATTACTATCAACACGGTCGTATAATTTATCTCCCGAACTCACAACCTTACAGTATGATGATAATGATAAAAAAATTGTTTCATTTTCAGATATTGTCTTTGCTACTAACAATGACTGGGAACTAAAAAGAACTAAGAATTACTCAAACCCATACTTATGTAAATAAGAAGATACGAATACTAATTTAAAAATCAATTTCGTCAAGTCTTCTTTTAATTACTCAAATTACATGATAAAATTTACATAAAATTTTGTATGGCCTTTAGGTTCATAGACTTAAAAGTAGAAAAATATTGCAAAAGTCAGTTTCTATTTTCAACTAGTTTCAGTTTTGAGATTTAGTTATTGAAATAACCATTTTCACAAAATAAATTGAATTGTTTGTTTTGTTTTTGTTTTGAATTTCAAAGTATTTTTATAAATATATTATTTTTCAGTAAAATCTTAAATGTACCGAGTTTGCTCCTGAATATCTATCAAAGTAAAAATAAAATAACAAAAACCGGTACAACTTAGAGGAACAGATTCGTCATTATTGCTCATTAGAACCGCAATTGAAGCTCGCTCCAAGAAACTTGCTAGAACATGAAGTCTTGAAACAAATTAGAGTATTTCAATGCATTTTAGATGTTTTCAGATTTTACCCAAAATTCCTAACGTTCTACGTCTTATCTTTTTTAGGTTATACAATATTATATGTACAATATGATATGAATATAAATGTGTAAACCCACAGCTCAAAAACTATAGTTAAATAAAAAACTCTACCATTATTATCATTTAATAAAAAGCATAATAATAATTTCACAACTTTTTTGAAGAACGAAGAGCACAGCAGATTTGGACTTGAACTCGAGCGGTCCGGTTTATAAAGTCTTAAGACCGTACATAGAACGTGATAATATGAAAACACAGATTTAGAGACGGAGTAATGAATAGCCAGGGTTCCCTCAGTCAGGTGCTACCTAACGCTCTACAGAAATTAATGGACTTGTGATTTGTACACACACCAGTAACCACTTACCATTAACGATGCGACTTTTTACTATTTATTAACATTGATAGTAAAGAATCATTTTGATAGGAAAATGTTTTCTGTGACAACACCCTCGGGTTGTGACTTCACCAGGGTCAAACGGTAAGTTATTTGTTATGTTGAACTCGAACTACTACGAACTACTACTACTACTACGACTAAAACCAAACAGTTATCCCTGATCAGGTCTTATGCCGCCGCGCTGGGGCTTCAGGGGTACTTTAAAAAGGACATCCCAGAGGACCCCGGCAGACTTGGCGGTCTGTTGAATAAGACGACCCTCCTGCTAATTGCGAAGGATTGTGTAGCCTCCAATTCAGAAAATACGTCACACCACATGAATATTCGCTATTTGTGTTGGATATTTAAATAACGATAACTTTACACATCTTACACGCGGCCGTCTGATCCTAAATTAGGCAGAGCCTGTGCTTTGGTACCTAGACTGCTAATAAACATAATTATATATTTCTAAATACATACACATTGTAGATAGATTACACCCAGATACAGAATAAATTATCGTGCTCATCACAAAATTATTTGTCCTGGATGGGAATCGAACTAGACCAACATACCAGTCAAATGTGATCTTAATTAAAAAAAACTTCTTCGATATTAGATATTACCAGTTAAATGGTCAGTTGCTTAATAAAAATATTCACCTGTTGCGTACCAATATTATTTGACAGATGATTTTACTTAAACGACTATGATTGACCTTCATAACGTTGTCTTATCGACATTTTGAAACTTTTAAGTAAATGTGAATGTTAATATTATATTATATGTGATAAGGTGACCCTTTGAACTGTTGAATAATCCAGATAGTCAGTCACAATATGATCATTATTTATTAGGTTCGTCAAATGTTTTATAAAATCATTTTTCTATTCTTGAACAAATTATAAAACATTAGTAAAATATATTGACGATAATTACTTACATTCACTAATGAGTTTTGTTCACACGAACTCAACCTAAAACAACCTAAGTATACTTAATATAGCAATCAGCAATAATCACGATTCGATAGACACTTTAATTTTAAAAAATTTAATACTTACTTCTTCGCAAGATTCATCTTCGGATGAATTTGATTCTGATGATGATGATGAGCTAGAGGCGGCACATTTCCTACGCCCTTTCTGAAATTCAAATTAAGTTATAGTCCATTTGCGTTAAGAAAATAGTGACGCAATGGTGACGCGTCGATCAAGCCCCGCGCCCTGAAGCTGGTAGCATTAAAAATATATGAAGCTCATTCAAAATGATATCCATTGGCTTCAATACAGCTTATACAGACTTAAACGTTAAGGCCAGTTACAAATAGAAACACGTACTCTATCCATGGGAAAAATCTTCACTGCCAATCATTATATAATCAATCTTTTTTTTGGTGACTCCGAATTGATAATAGCGTTTAGAGCATGGCATACTCTCTAAAACTGACTAATATAAATTATAATCTAGCGTTTTTAAGATCGGGACTAAATGACGGCACGTCTTCAACCTCTGGTAAACTCAGACGCTTTCGTTTCCAACCACGCTTGGGTGGATCAAGCTTTATGAACCGGTACGGAGTCTTGCTCAAAGGACCATTCATGGTTATCGAACATGGCGTTGTTAACCTGTTATGCTTCACGTTCTCATAAATCGTATCTTGATACACTTGTGTGACGCGAAAATGAGAAACTACAAAGAAAGAATGACAGATTCAAAATACAAATATTAATTGTACCAGTACTTATGGCTACCCTAAGTACAAGTACCAACGATCTAATGAATGCAAAGGTGATTATCAAAAAAAAGCTTAATTATTGTACATAGAGAATAATTTAAAAAAGAAAGACAGCTCCCGCACTAGGAACATATCATGTGCCGCAGTTGACGTTACAAACATACATGAAACAGACACAAAGAATACCCAGATTCAGAACAACAATTTATGGATCACACAAAGTGTGCAGTAGGAAGCGGTGAGGTGGCCGCTTAAACCACAACACCATGCGTGCAGTCAATATAAGACACTAATGCTTACAGCTTATTAACTAACTGGAGATCGCGTCGTGGTCGATTTTGGACCATAATTTATTTTATTTTATTTCATTAACCAGTACAAATTAAGCTCCAATTTAATGTACATGTAACGTAACATGGCTATAGTCATCCCAAGCAAAAGGTGTATCCTAGAGAAAAGAGTAAAGAATAAAACATTAATCCATGCATTTGTAATGTACTACAAATATATTACCATCGCTCGTAGATATGATGGAAGCGTGTGGTATCATTATAGCATCCATATTTTAATTAGATAATTCTTAGAATAACAAACCTTCACCTATGATCCGCTCTAGATGTTATGTTATATCGATAAATCCCGATATTTAAATTGCGTTTACAATTGTTATGATAAACATGATTATCGATCAGCTGTAGAATTTTAATGCAAATAAAAGTTCTTGGCAACTCTAGAATTTTTATCATCTGATATTTTATATAAATTTATTCTCTTATTGCATGAAGAGAATTCTTTGAACCTCTTTTTTGGCTTTCCATACTATTTGGAGTACAGTTTATGTGCTAATATTTTACACAATATCCCATTAATATAATAAACGAAAGTTTTTGAGGATAGATGTATGGAGTTTATAAGTCGCTCAACTCAAACCGCTGAATAGATCTGGATGAACTTTTGCAAAGACAAAAGTGAAGCATAGAGTAGTAAAAAGTATCAAAAAATGGTTGACAAAATCGACAGTAACGCGAAAAAAATATCTAAAAAGGACTTCATCAAGTTTCACGAGCCCAGCGGATATAAACGATGAAGTGTCATGGTATGTAAAATTTGAGCAACGCTTGACTCATGTAACAAACAGGTGAATGAAATAATACCAATTAATCAAAATTTAATCAATCATGGTCAAGGTACTTTTTTTAATAAATGTTTTATTATACTAAATGCAATAATGCATTATTTAGATTTTTGTATGCCCTTGTCTTGTTTTATATGGTACAAGATCGACATAACTTTGTATTACCTGAAGAAACAGTCTTATTTATTCAGATCCTGGAAAAAAATGTACTCACCTCGTTACATCGTGAATGATGGGAGCCACTGAAAGAAATGAGCAGAAACATTCAATTTTATGATTAAATATGTTTTTTTTTTATCTAAACATACAACACATGTTGTATTATCATAAATATCAGAAAACATGCATACATACATGTACTCTGATATTGCCAAATTAAATATTATTCAAAGATGCCAAATATAATTCACAAAAATATACACCATAAATTTAATTATGTCTTACCAGGATTTGCCCTCCGTGATGGCCAAAATAGTTAACGTCACCAAGAGTAAAAACACAACTTTTTTCATTTTGTTTCTAAAATATCAACAGCAAACATTAATTAAAAACCTTAAACATGCATCTCATGGTTTAAAAATTCATCAACGTGAAATGTAGCAAAAGCCTTCCCGGACCTACACAACAAGGTTCAAAGGTTACGGGCTCTCTACTACGCACTCCTTCTTACTTCAATAATACCGGGATGCAGACGCAAATTGCCGGCGTATTTAAAACATTTGCCTACTACCCGATCCAGCACCGTGTGCATTAGAAAAGGAGGTCAAATAGTGTTCAAAACAAATCCATCAGACTACCATAACATCGTGCTTTAAGTTAATATTACGAATGTGTTTTAGTAAATTACAGCTCACATTCAGTTATATAAGCCATGTTATCACTATGCCCCAGCATATTTTTATCTGACAAAGTTATAAACTAAACACAAGTCACGTTTAATATTATCACCTATCGGTGCTTGTAATTATTTGTCACAAAAACGCTATCAATTATGTATGGCTAGTTTTAAATAACTTCACTAGGGTCTCGAGAAAGCATACTAAACCATTCTAGGACTTCAAATATAAACAAGTAATTATTTACTGATTTAAAAAAAACACTACTACGTGAAAATTTTATCCCTACTTAAAATTTAAAAACTTAATTAATAAATGAAGAATATTTTTTTAGCATGTCTCGTCACAAATAACTATATAAGTTATTTATATTTATGCAAAAAAATTAAGAAATTCTTTGTTTTGCTACCACACTCAATAAGTTTTGAAGAAGAAAATAAAATAAACATAAAAAGCTAGTGCTTTTTATGTGTTTATTTGCTTAGCATTTTTATTATTTCTATTGATACACCCAGTGTCGCTTTCACAATTAAGGCGAATCTAACGACATTAGTCAAGTTAAAATCTATCAAGCCAATTGAAATATACACATATACTCGAAATATGTCTTTCTGTCGTAGTCATCTACAAGAAATTTAACTCAAGTCTCAATTGTTAGGTGCACCGGTTTGATATAGGTAATTATTATGCCTGTTAATGGTACAACAAACAATAGTACAAAGTGACATTAAAATATTCAAATTTATTACTTAAAGTTATGACAACCATTTAATGTGCATAAAAATAATAAATAAAATATTAAACATACCGAAGACGAACCACACTTCGAGAATGAGAATTCACCTAATTGTCGAGCTCGTGGTCCGTGCTAAATCTTCGTGTCGACTGATTTCAACTATTTATCACAACACATTAAGGCCAAACATACCTAAACTGTAAGATGAATACAAACGGGCCACTTTGATAACTCACTTCTGAGAAATTATCGATTGCTAATGTATATCAATGTACTATATTTAAATGTTTTCTGATACATTATTCAAAAATCCTTATTCTCACTTTCTGTTATCTTTTAGTGTTAAGGTTGTATCTTAAGAACTGAGTGTAATGGGGGGAAATATTACGTACAATATAAATAAAAGGTTCAAGAGTCTCGCACTACTTTATTAGTATTGTAAGCAAAGATTGTACCTATAATAAAAACAGCAGTGTCCCTGCCAAGTCGTGTAATAACATGCTCGCTCTTAAATCTCTAAAACCACGATATGGAATATACTTATAAATAGCCTTTCTTCATTATCTTAAAAACCTTTTTCCAATTTTATTGGAGTCGGATTTCCGCTTATATTCTTTACTACCTGACGCCTGTCTTGCCAACTCGCCTTAGTAATGTAATAGTTTTCAGCCAGGATTGAGAAAGAAGGTAAATTAGGAAAGAGCGATGAAACTAGCTAAAGTAAAGTATAAGTCTGCAAGTGACAGAGGAGGACTAAAAGAGGCCGGTGTCACATACTCTTTTCTCCATTCTATGATTGGAGAGACCATTTGAAAAGGGATTCAACTGGCTATATTCAATAATGTAATATTATAAATGCGAAAGAGAACTTGTTTATTTGTTTGTTGAAATTTCACTGAAATAAAAAAGGCACAGTGTTTCATCAAGAAAAAAGATATACGGCTCCATGAGAAAGTAAATTGATTGACACTAAACTGTGGTGAGCGTAGCCCGTAGGAAAAATCTAGTATGTCATAAAATGTAGTCATTTTGATTCCAACAGATTACAGATTATCTTACTCTTGATACTGAGCGATTAATCAACATACCTTGTAGCAACCATGTTTAAGTAAATCTTTCTCGCCCTCGGGCACTACTAGTGCCGTAGTAACACTATTACCATAATGATTTTGTGTGTCCACATGTCCCTACAAGATTTTCGTTTGAGTGTTACATCGGCCTCAAACCGCCTATTACGCCTAGAATATGAGTAGTCTGACAGGTACTTTTAAGAAGACATCAGGCCCTATACTAGCATCTGCAGGCAAAAGCACGAGCACTACTTTTACACATACAGTTAGGAGACCACCACTAAAGCAGGTATCCCAATACCTCAGGGTGTCATCAGCCGCTAAAATGCACGTCTCCATTCCTAATATTTAGATATATATATATTAGGAATATAAATAAATCAGGCTTGGCCTGTCAGGTACATAAAAAGATAAGGGTATTCGGGGCAGTCTAAACATCCACTCACGCATTTGCACCGTACTGTGTTATTGATCCAAAAATCCCCATGTACAGCTGTACAGTGTACCTATATTACAAAATTTGGTCCTTTCGCTGAAATATACATGTTACAAATTCCTAAGTAAAGGATCGACGATCACTACTCAACTATGTACCATTGTGTTACACGCTAAAAAAATATAAATTAACTATAATGAAGAAGGAGATTATTCTTACGTACATAAGATCTTATAATTAATGGAATTACATTTTTTATCAGAGTACGTAGTAAACAATATTGTAAAATTTTCTTAAAACCAAGTGATATTAATTAGCCTATGAACCATACAAACAATGCTTAATTTTATTATTATAGACTAAACAAAATACACTGTTTGTTTAAGCTATCAAAACGCTTGCTAAGCAAAAAAAGTATTTAAACTATTCAAATCAAATTGTAATAATCCTAACCGTTTCTAAGAACAAAATTCACTCTAGAAATTATTATTTTTCGCATTCCATGATATATAAAAAAATATATAATTATACCACATGGTATTAACGTGTTTACGTAAAAGGTTTTATCATCATCAGCCTACTGCCGTCCACTGCTGAATCCCGGTCTTGGGCTATCCGCATCCATCCACTGCTAGCCATTTTCCTCGCCTTACACTACGTTTGCCTAATCGCGGTCTCCACTCTAGCACCTGTAGTCCGCCTGGAAACATGACCAGCCCACTCCCACTTCAGTGCGCTGATTCTTTACATTACTCTAGTTCTCTGTCGAATAGTTTCATTTCGAATTTTATCGACTAGAGAAAAGGAGAAAAGGAAATATGGCTAAAAAGACACTGCTTAATATTCTAAAATACTTTTAGAAGGACGCACAAGCTTTTTTAATATTGACAAGGTCACTATAAACTATTGTTAGTTGACAAATGCAGTAACAATGGGATCCCACAACTTTTTGTTATAGAACTTGGATTTTGTTGTCTTAGGTTTTCATGGAATATATTGTACTTTTGCATTTGTGACCTGATAAAAGAAAAGTTACTTTTCCCGTGTTGCGTACACGGGAAAAATGTCAAATGTATGTGTAATTGTTTTTAGTTTCTCAATTCGGTATATTATACTAGAATTAACGACGATAAAAAGTTATAGAGGAATTCTGGTATTTAGGTGTATAGTATGGTCACTGCATACCATAAATCTACACACCATCAAATAAGTTTAAGTAACCTGTGAAAGAAATAGAAATGTCTAGATTTATTGTCAATTATTGAATTACTCCTAAAACTTTCATATGCAAAATGCATATGAAAGTTTTAGCAGTAATTCGAGAGGATATCTCGTTTCTGATATTTTTATGTTTAGTAGTTAGTTGCAATAGCATTTACAACGTTCATGTCCTCTTTGAAAGACTCCTTCGTCAAAGGGACAACGGATTATAGTGGAAAGGATCCTTGCTAATCCGATGCAAGCCCGTTGAACTGGTAACAGAAGCGAGATTGACGCATCTATCGCCGCTGCTATAAATACCATTTTTTCTTAGAGATGATAAGTTTAACAAACGAATGAGTTTATTTGGAAAAATTATATAATTTATAAATATATACTACCTTGGTATCCACTCGTTTAGTTTATGTTCATTCTTAAGAAAACTAAAAAAAAATAGAATAGTTAAGAGCTTCTCATTTTACACTATTTGGGTAAGAACTATACAAAACGGAAAAACATACGTAAAATGAACTACATATTTTTTACATTTGATAAATAAAATAATCGAGGCGCAATTTCTTTGTATAATTATTCTGCTGAAATCGGTGTTTTTTCATGACTATTTCGGTCACACGGTGGTTATTTACATTCGTCATAATTAACGTATACTTGGTACGAGTACACAGTAAATTTCAATTAAGAAATAACCAATAAGAAAGAAGATAAGAAATAGAAATAAATCATAGTACAACATATTGTGAGAATGATAAATGGTAAAAGAAGAATCATGAAAAGGCCTGACTAGAGGCTGAAGAAGGAAGGTAGGAAGGTATAAAATCGAAAAAAAAACGTTAGGGTAGTTTCGATTTCAGTCACAGCTGATATAAAAGGCATCACCCATAAATTTTAACAATATATACTTAATTGAGATGCAGAAAAAACGACGTGAGTGATATTCGAAGTATACATCGTCAAGAACGACCTCAATGCGTCTGAAAGAAAATTGACTTACTCGCTATTCACCCTGATAATTTTCGCAATTTTTATTTATTTACATTTATTTCAATATATTATAATTATAAATAAAACTTTAGAGTAAAATTTTGCATATTTTCATCGAAATCCGTTCATCAGTTTATGCTCGAAAAAAAAAACAAACATCAACGAATGTACGTACAAACTTTCACATTTATAATGTTCATAGGAAGTAGAAAACTTATATCGATCACTCTTATTTCCAATATAAAATAAATATCCTTGACATCAGAGAGAACATAGATTTCACATCTACAGGGTTCGATATATGCGGATGTGTATTCGTAACTCGTATTGTGCTAGCTCAATTCACTCAGCTTTATCAGGTTTATTTGATAAACGTTTCACAGTCAGCGAGAAAACAAGCTTCTTACACAAATAGGAGATTTTAATATCCTTAAGTAGTGATGATACTGCCCTCTTGTATAAAAGACTTGCAAAGTAATCCACAGCGGGAGTTGCTATCGTACGAATCTGCTTGAGTCATCCTATCCTTTTTGGATAAATAGGGTCCGAAAGCCGAGTGAAAGCAACGTTTTATTTTTGCCCATAACTCAATCGCATAATAAGATGTTTTGTGGGTTTGAAAATATTACATAGCAGTGTAACACCTTAGGAGTGTACAAAACCTTATTTAAACTCGCTACACCATGACAACCCCTTTAAAGTACTATTTTTATTTCATATTCTTATAAATATAAAGCAACTTATGAATTTTAAGATCAATGTTACTTGAAGATAATGTTTTGGAAACAATAAATCTTCAAAAGTATTACAGTTTCTCTATTTATTTTATGAAATAGGGGTAAACAATCACTCGGCTTATCTTATTGTAAGTGACTCGTAAAGGACATCTGCAACTCAAAGAGACACAAGTCTGTTGCCGCCCTTTGAGTCTCCTTCCCCAGCCATATTGATTTAAATCACCTGATGACCTGTTACAGCGCTTAGTGTAAGATTTTTACATTTCGACTTGATTGGTGTAGGGTTCAGGGCGGGCTTATCGGTGGCGATGTGAAATAAACTTAAACTCCATACAATAAAAAATATTTGGAATCAAATTGTATCGTGCAGTGAAAAAAAATTAAAAACATCGTTTTTTTTAGAATCTATGTTTAAAACAATTTTTGTTCTGGAAAGGCTGAGAAAAAGCACATTTGATTTTTTAATTACACTGCATTTTTTCACGAGTCTTTTGTAACCTAATGTTATAATGTTTCCTTTTTTTTTCTCTGTTTATCTATGGCTATCGACTTTTCAAATTGGTTTTTGTATTGTATAATAAAAAAGATAATAAAGAAGTATTATAGTCCACTAGGTGTAGAACTTTAGTAGGTTATATTTTTGTCACTTTTAATGTGTTTTAATGCATGAGATAATCATCTTATATTTATCTACATAAGAATATATAATGTCCAATAAGTTTATTAATTTATTACCTATTTCAACATATAAAAATTTGTAAATTCTAAACCTATACTAATATAATCGGTGGCAGCCATTTGCGGCCTTTCGCGTCACACGTTTAGTCTTTACATTTAATCACAGGGCAAACGTCTGTCAACTCTGTGAACAGTAGTAAAAAAAAAAAACGTTTTTTTTATTATTATTTTTTTATGGCCTGGTAACAAGACCTTTAAGCCAAGTCTTAATTTTTGAGATTCTAGGCGGGAATTTGAACTGCCTAAAATCTTCCGCCTTTCAGTTCAAATTCCCGCCTAGCAATTCAACTGTTTTTTTTTTTCAGTTGCCACTTTATTTTTTTTTACTTCCTTATATCCACTACAGGATTTTTAAATACATAAATAATTCGTTTAATAATGCACCAAAAACTACATTCTTTAATGATTCAGTACTTATAAGTATAAAACTATTATCTGATTACCATATTACTATTAAGTGATTACTGTATTACGATACTTAACTAGTAATTAGACAGTATTTCCACTACTTGAAAAAAATATCTGTAAAATGATAACACTAAACTGATAAAGTAAATTAAAAGAAGCAAATAACCTTATAATATTATTCTTTCTTTTTCTGGGATTTTACTGACAGACGATAATTTCAAAAAAACGTTGATATTTACTAGAATTAGTTTCCTATGAATGACATTTTAAGACGCTCAAATTATACTCAACTACGAACTTGCCATTGTTCTTTAGTATGCAGGTGGTTTTGGGGGCGATTAATTGATCTAGTTAGGTTTCATTTTTAGAAAATTTACCAAAAAAAACCGGCCCTCCAGGTACTAAAAACTTTAAATGTATCAATTTTTACATTCATAAGTATGCGATATTCTATGAAAGGGATATCATCACATCACACATCACATCAACAGCCTATGATAGTCCACTGCTG